TTAACTTGTGTCTGACTAATTCATAATTATAGAAGCACTTTAAAGACAGGGGAAAGCATTTTTCAGATTGTGAAGTAGAGATTCATGAGACAAAATAACAGAGGGGAGGGAGGGAATGAGAGGCAATGGTAGATGCCTTGTGCTTTGGAAGGGATCACATTCAAGTACAATTTAGGGAAACTTAGTTCCAGGCAAATGACTTCTGCATTATGTTAAAAACAAATCCCTTCATGAAATTTGTTTCCTGAAAGATCACATCTTTCCAAGTTAAAACATAGATTTCCCCATTTTAAAGTCATGGTATCACAGACCATTTCAGTGAAAGAGCAGATGAAGATAAACAACTCACCTCACCCTTAAATAGAGTTTTTGAAAAACAAAGCTTTGAAAAGTGTCTCAGTGGAGTCTTCTATTTGCAGACTGTTTGCTTTCCTCTAATCATTATGTTCAATCTACTTTGAAGACCCTTTGTGCTCAGTATGAAGTTGAAATTAGCATGACAAAGGAAAGAAAAAGAGAAACCAAGGGAAGAAAACATGGAGACTTGATAATGGCAACATATTCCTTGTCTGGAGAAGCATGTCCCACAATCTCAGCAGTGTGGAGACCCTGGACTCTCCGGAAGTGACAACAGATGGCAAAAGACCTCAGGCAGAGCCATTTCAGGGCATCAGGGCACGAACTATAGCATCAATACTAACAGCGCACAGCACCCTGCCTCTCATTATTGTCAGATCCCACTGCCTGGTCACCATGTAAAAAACCCAGAATTTCCACCTGGGAATTTCATACTTTGGCCTTCTGTCTCCTACAGGAAACATTTTCTTACAAAACTGAAACAGAATTGTGTGTGTGTGTGTGTGTGTGTGTGTGTGCATTTTATCACTCTGTCCTTCTATGTATCACAAAGAAATTTTAAGAAATTGCCTCCTTAGTCAAAGGTGGTACAGTAAGAAATATTGAAGAGGCACTGATTCTCTAGTTTTCCCAGCCCAGTTTGCAAAAGGGCAAAAAAAAAAAGCATCAACAATCTAGACTTTTACACACACACACACACACACACACACACACACACACTGGTTTTGTTCCATGGAGCTAAGTGATGCAAACTTCACAGAGCAGGAGGAGATTTTGAAAAGGTAAAATTTATTCTAAATAAATTAAAATATCACTTCAACCTAAGATTTATATGATGACACTGTGCTGGGTGTTTCATATGTGTTCATTTTTTTTTGACGTTTATAAGAACGCTGCAGGATAGGTAGTGTTTCATTCCCCTTGAAGGGGAATGCCCAGAGGCTCTGAGAGCAAACCACCTTCCTCTTTCTTTATGTCAGTTGTTTCTTGGAGGCATTTCTCATCAAAACTCCCAGGAAACTGACATCTTAGGAAATTGTTCCTTTAATGAAATGTATAGTATTCTAAATCTCAGGCATCATTTGCAAGAATAAAAACCAGTTGGCTCTCTAGAGAAAGGTAAATAAACTATAGACACCTGAATGCATACTTCACCATTCTTTAAAATCAAAACAAAACAAATTATGTCACAATAAAGAAAAATAGTGTTATAAGAAAATATCTCTCTTTAAATGATTTTCTTGCAGGGTTCACGATAAGGGGAGGAAATGTAGAGATTGGTGTTTTTCATGGTTGAAAAGAACAGTGTATTTTCTGTTTGATGGGAAAACCATCCCAAGCAGACAGTTAGAGGGAAAAGACTGCTGGGAGTGTGGTAATACAGGTACTGTCACACAATTTGGAGCCAAGAATATTGCTTAGGCCTGGTCTACAAAGCAAGTTCCAGGATAGCCAGAACTGTTACATAGAGAAACACAATCTTGAACCCCCCTAAAAAAATGAACATTGCTTAAACATTTTCTTCACTTCACTTCTTGACAACTGTGAAATTTTGGACAGATTATCTAGCAATGCTTATGTATATGTAAAGCAGAGATAATAAAGTCTTTCCAAGAGTATTCATCTGTGAGGAGACTCAAATTATATATAAAAACATATTTACATATATAATTATATAATCTAGTAGTGTAGTAATAGTAGTGGATATACACAGGAGTTTAGAGACAAAGTATTATTCAAATATAAGATACCACTTTTGTTACAAAGAATGAAATCATATGAAGCAGGGTTGAGAAGAAAGATATAATTTAGTTCCCCACTCTGCAGTCTCATTGGATGGAAAACTCTTTGAAATATGATAGACAGCAGTAATTTCCATGACAGAGACAAGAGTTATTCACTAAACAAATGAATTATACTCAAATTAGGTATTCTTGAGTTTTAATATTTATTCTGTAATTATTCTATTTGTAAGTGCAATGACTTATTACACATGAAACACTCAGTGGGATAGCTGGGATATTTGTGATCCACATCCTTATGCATTTCAAGGCACCCTAGTTTTTAGGAGAATGCAATGTCTATCATTTTTATATGCTACCTAAGTGAGTCAAAAGGACACCTAAATTGCAGAGTGGATACAGTACAGAATAACCTCCAGGCACTCAGTCTGAGTTACAGGGTTTTACTTAAAATAAGGTATTTTATCTAAGATGGTTGCTTAGGTATATGAGGTATTTCTTATTATTTATGAAGGTTAAATTTTGCACTCATGACAGACTTCAAGACTTTATCAGTGGCTGAAACATAGTCTCATTGTAGGTGACTCCAGGGACTCAATACACCAATCATTTGATCATATTCATTAGTTCCATTGTCTTTCCTTATTTACCTTTTACAATACAGTTCCAATTTCATAAATACAGAGCATACTTTTATGCTTTGCAAACAACACTCCCTAATATTGCATCAATAGAAGAGCTGTTAATCAATAAAGGTCCTAGGTAATGCCTCAATTTGCCCCCACTGTAATATTTACTGTTAACTATTGGATTGCTATTTGGTTTTGATTTTATTTTGGTATGAAAGATGTTGATTTGGATGTCAGAAACACATAGAATATTCGCTATTATGTTTTCAACGTATGAAATTCTGACTCCTGGTTTATTTTGCCAAGAATAAATTATTCTTATAAGGTAAAGTAAATTAGTCTTACACACTTTTCAAATTTTCTCAGTTCTTCCCTTAGGTTGTTGGGAGGTACTAATTTACTTTATTTTGTTTTCCATAACAACATGACACACAACTCGAGATTTCCCCTACTGCAACTGTGTACTAGAACACTGTGATGGGGTACATACACCTCAATCAGAAAGAGCAGGGAAGTGTCACAACAGATTATAAGGAGTGGGCAAAAGGAAAGGAAGCTTCTTTTCTTGGCAACTGATTGAGAAAGAGTACCGGGGATCAATCAATTCAATTTAAATTCGATTCACATGGTTCTCCTCTGATTCTGAGACGGCCCATGGAAATGTGTGTGATCCTCACTGAAGAAATAGATACCCAGAACAATGAGCAGATTGTCTGAGGCTATTCAGCTGGTGACTAGTAGAATTAAGGAGTTGTGTTTAGCTTTATAAGAAACAAAAACATTTTTCAGGGCTGGATAGATAGCTTAGCAATTATCTGCTCTTACAGAGGCCCAGAAGTCAGTTCGCAGCACCCACACCAAACAGCTCACAACCACCTGTAAGTCAAGTTCTATGGGATCCAATGCTGTCCTCTGGGTCCTATATGCACTCTTACACACATAGCACACATACATACATACATACATACATACATACATACATACATACATACATACGATACACACACATATATATAAATGCATATCAAATCTTTTTTAAAAAGATACGTTTTTAATGTCTATACTACAGAGCTTCAGAAACACATCCAAAACTAAGAATTTCCTAATCAGACTATAATCTGGCAAGTACGATAAAAGGATGATACTGTTCAATGTACTGGCTTAAGGGGAGATGAATGCTCTGCATTTTCTTGGCCAGAGTTATCTCCACACTGACAAGGATGTGCTTATCCATAGCAGCAAGAAACTGCTCAAATTTGGCATGTGTGCCAAGAAAATATTTATTTCTCAAGTAGAAAGTGGCATTCCTACACATTTTTACTCATACAACCAATGTTATAAGATGCTTAAGAGCACCAGGCACTAAATAGGGCATTGGGTACACAATTATGAACAAAATGCAACAGGACCACCATAAGTAAATAATAATCTGTGTAAAGGACAGATGAGGAAAGGGAGGCTTCAACAAGAGAGAGAGCAATGGTTCTCTACCCTGGAAAGAGTCTATGTCTGTGATAGTATCCTGGTTGTCTTCTGGAGGACAGTGATACCTGGCTCCAGGGCAGATGGGTTAATTGCTACCCCTCAGGCATTCCCAAAGAACTCTGCCATAAGCCAAACCGTTCCTCACATTGCGTTATATAATGTTTCAGAACTCCAAATCAGCATCTTTCACGTCAAAATAAAATCAAAACCAAATAGCAATCTAGTAGTTAACAGTAAATATCACACTGGGGTCCAAGTCAGTAAGGCAAAGAAGAAAAATAAGAAATGATTTATAAAAAAATGTATAGACCCATAATCCATGTCTTAGTGGATTTCCAGAAAGTAGCTAGCAAGGATTTAATTGAATAGTATAATAAAGCAGCTATATCCCAATTCCATTCTCATTCTAAGAAACTACAACTCACAACAAAATATTCTCCATTCAGCTCTTGATTTTTTTCACTTGTTTTATTCATTTTACAAATAGTGATTGAACACTTAGCATTTTCTACACACAATTTTGAGAACCTAAATAGTAACAGACAAAAGAGATATTATCCGTAAGTTTATACCAATTGTAGAAATACACATGTAAAATATGTAATGTCTTCTAGTAATTTCCAAGGAAAAAATGATAAGGGAATGTACCAGAAAAAGTGAGTTAAAATTTTACCCATAATAGCCAAAAAGGGTCTTCATAACATTTGAGTCTAATTGTAAAAGAAGTGGAGGTTCAAGCAGTGCAGGTATCAGTGAGAACAACACACAAACCTGACCCTTTCCTCACCTGGACTTTGACAGGTTCCATCCAGTGCTCCAAAGTGTCAGTAGTCACATTCTCTGGCAGCATCACAGGGTCACTAGGGGGGACTACACATAACGGGAAACACACTGCACCTGAAGGAATGGAGATTGATAGCAGAGACATGGACTTCTCAGTTCACACTCTTTTTCAATGTTTGCTTAGCTAAGTAGTCTACACTATAGACTATATTGTCATGGTAGTTATAGGCAAGGCTGACTTCTGTCCCTTGTGTACCTATAGGAATACTGTTATATAAGGTGATTAAAAGTCCCTCCTATCTCCACATGCCATCTTCTCTGCCTGTTCCAGTACATCCTCTCCTCAAAAATTGATGTATGATGGAGTCATTCAACAATTAAAAGATTGATTTCTGGTTTAGCAGACTGACACATCCCCAAATCAGGACTCTGGCTAGCTAAACTTTATTTTGATCAACTGATGCCTTTTAAGTATATTTAATATCATTCTGCTATCGCAGTAACTTATATTGACAGCACCTGCTACCTGGTAGCTTCAATAACTGGCATGGAGGAAGTGGCACAGAGGTTATTATATTACCTCAGGACCTATCCTCTCAGTTGGCACACTGAAGGTCATTACATGCACAACCAAGAAACTTATTTGAGTAAAGGAGAAAACAGCCAAAATAAGAAGCAGAGATTTTGGTCTCTCAAAGGAAAATCATGTTCTGTGTCTTTACATCAGAGACCCAAGTCCCCCCTCAAAGGTTAGCCAAACAACACTCATTCTTGGGCTTCTCTTTCCTACAAATTATGTAGTTTTAATTTCCCATTCATTTTTCATTGTCTATAATCTGTGTCTTTAGCTAAATAATATCTTAAGCTACATCATTTATAGGAGATGATATGGATGTATAATATTTTATGTAGAAATCAGAATATTTGAGGATGAGAATCTGTTCATGAAACACCACTGAAGAGACATCTGAGGTAGCTGACCTTCCAGGTCTGTTTGTGCTATGATCAGCACAAGATGTCATAGCACAAATAACACTTGGAACCAGGTGAAGAGTCAATTCAGAAATGCCTGGGTTTTCCAATTAACACATGTCATGCACATTTATACCACATGAGTTAGACTCTCCTAAGAAATTTTCAGCCTGGGTGTAAATTCAGAGTTTAGATTCAATCTCATAAGGTTTCACACACATTACAAAAATTTTCTGTAATGTGTAGGGCCAGTCTGAGCAAAGTTGAGTCAACCTTACTCTAAGTCATCTCTAATACACACAACTTAAATTGCAATTATTTGAGTAAGCGCTTGCCCACAGGCTCTGGAACCCAGTCCTCTGTGGAGTAAAGCTAAAGAGGTTCATCTTAAATAATCCTTCCCACCACAACAGAGGTAATATAGGAGCCCAGATTCACATGGGGTGCAGCTGTTCATTCATTTCAGAACTACAAACCCAGTCACAGATACATGCACTCTCAGTTTTTTTTCAAAGCAAAGTAGGTAACGTGAGCAGATTCCCATTCTTACCAATCCCATATCCCTGTCCACACTTGTACTCCACAAAATTCAGCTCTGAAGGGGGTGGTGGGCATTCCCCTTGCAGGTTTTCACACAACTTGAACTCCTGGGTCCATAGCCCCTCTTTAGTGCAGAGGATGGGAGTCTAGAATGCCAAAGATAAGGAACACCACTATTGTTATTTTGTTAATTTCATTGCAGGAAGGGGAAAATTGGTCTGACTAGTAAAGATACAAGTTAACTTCTGGAACTTGGGATAAATTATGACCAAAACAATAAGTAGAGTTAAATATGGCAAAAGAAGAGGGAGGAGGAAGAAGAGAAGAAAAAGAATGAAGGAACGGAGGAAGGAAGGAAGGGAAGATGAACAAACAAACAGAGCAACCCAAGACAATTTTTGCTGTTTCCATGTGAAGGAATCATGAACAATTTCTCATTCATAAAACTTATCAGCACTATATTCTCCTTTAGTAATGAGGATATAATATACTACTGACCAGAGCTGAATATTCTGTGCTATTTTGAGAAAATGCCCACAGGTGGTATTGTTTTACCCCAATTCATGCATAATTATCATACCAGTATTGCTTATGGAAAATGCTGAATATTTTTTCAAGGCAGGCTTTGTATAGTGAAAGTAATAATTTTCCTAAAGGTATGTTTTTGCCTCTCTACTGAAATGCACATATTATCGCTTTTTTAATCCTGCTTGGTTCTGTTTCCTTTCCCCACATGACTGCTGCCTGGTATAACTTGGTTCACTCCCCCTCCACCACCACAATTCAATGTATATTGTACCGGATGGAACACAGAGAAAATTAAAAACTATAAACCCCGAGGGGAGAAATATAGATGTATCAATAGCTCTGTCTTTGTCTGGCAAACGCCATGCTTTCTTAACTAGTCAATTCACACAGGCATATCTGATGCCTTTGGATCTCATTTTTGTGGCCCATTTTTTCACATCTGTTCTGCAGTATTATCTTGAATATTAGACACTAAGTTAAAGTCACTCCAACGGAGCAGTGATGGTCATTGATCTTTGCCTCCAAAGTCTACTTGACTTCCTGTTTCATGTATGTGTCTGTGATACTTGAAAAGTATCTAAAACAAAACAGAGTTTAGTCATACAATCATAAGACTGGGGTTTTTAGTTCAGACTTGTGCCAGAATCCTAGGGAGGATAATTGTCAAATAGCACTTTAATATTCTTTGCTGAACAATTTGTGTTTTTTGGGGGGACTTTGTTCTAATATAAAAGAAATTCACAAGTCCTTAATTTCTACTCAAGTTAGGTCAGTGCACCCATGGGAGTTGACTTCTTTGCCAAATCAGGATCCTAGACAAACTTGAAATGTACTCTGGTACCCTACTCCCTGGTTTCTTCTACTTACCTCGAAGAAAACTGAATTTGGAAGGGAATGTTCCAAACAAGTAACTCTCTTTGGAACTCTAAGGAATAATATCAGTGCCTCTCATTAGAACACAGCTGCATAAGGACCTGACTGCTGGATTTCTTTCAGTTTACTTCTCCCCAACATTCATGCCATAGCCATGATCAAGAAAATGAGAGCACAGTCTCATCCAAATGAAGTTCACAAAATCTTCCTTACCCTTTCCATTTCCTGGTTACAGTTGAGCACACACTGGCTGTCCAGCTTGAAGCCATTGGTGCATTCATACATGCCTTCAAAAACAGGAGAAGGAGGCTCACACACCACTGGGATGCAGCTCCTTTGTTCCCAGGTACCATCATCCAGGCATTGTATCTTCAGGAATTTACTAATAAGACATGAAACCAAACAGCCCATTAGAGAAGCCTGGATCCTCAGAAACATATGATAAAAATTAGCAAAGGGGGTCAGTGACATGGCTCAGTGGATGAAGTGTCAAGCCTGAGTTGAATCCCTGTAACCTACATGCTGGAAGGAGTGAACTGACTTCTAGAGTTGTCCTATGACACGACACATGCCATGTCTTGTCATATGTATGGGACAACACACACAGAGAGAGAGAGAGAGAGAGAGAGAGAGAGAGAGAGAGAGATAAAGAGAGAGAGAGATAAAGAGAGAGAGAGAGCAATTGGTTCTATTTAGACAAAATGTCCCATTGTGGTCTTTAAGTTAAAACTAGTGATGCTTGAGGAAGCTGTGGTATGAGTTCTTGTATATTTGACTTACTACTCCCTACAGAGTTGATAAATATCGTATCAACTAGACTGTTTATAGACAAAGTCTCAAATCTAAGCACAATGGGACATGCCATATACTTCAGAGTACAGCAGAATTGTCATACAATCAGGGGACGAATCAGATAGAACCTGAAGATTACCTATTCTGTGGTGACACAGTTGCCGAAATTGTTAACAGTCATTGCTTCTTTGAGTAGAAAGAAATCAGCGATGTATTGTTCTAAAACAGAGGTTCACCTGGTCTTCAAAGGTCAGTCTCCTCACTGAGATCACTACTCTCTCTGCTTTGTTTGTTTACCAGTTTATTTTTCCTTGGAAGTGGTTCATACCTTTCATCAGATCCATGAGCAGATATGACTCAGCACTGTCCTGGAAGAATGGCCCCTCCATCTCATGCCCAGACATGGCCTCTGACCAGACACTGTGCTTGAGATGGATAGGAATCAAAGCACCAGAGTTCCTGTTTCTGTGGATTCCGTTTTCACACCACTCTGACTCATTGCAATCAGAAGGTGCTTTCCGGTTTGGCAGTTTTCGCATACCCACTTCTGATTCACAAAACTCATGGTTACAGATAAGCTTGTAATTCAAAATATAAATAGTTCTTTGGCCACTGCCTCTCTCCACCATGTAAATGGTAGATGGTGGCTTTAAATTACCATCTGTTTTCTTTCTTTTGTGAGTAAGTGAGTGTGTGGGGGGGTGGGGGTGGGGCTGTGGGTATGTGCACATGCCTATGATTTAAGACAGGGTCTCATGTAATCCAAACTGACCTCTGAGCATTTGAGGGTGACCCTGAACTCTTGGGTCTCCTTACCAACACTACCCAACTGCCTGGAGTTGCAGGCATGTGCTACATGTCCAGAACATTTTGTAGTGTCATGATCTCATTTTAACATTAAGATATACATACCATTCCATATACACTTTTAACCAACAATCATAAAGTGCCTTCTGAGTGCTTGCAATATTCTTCCATTTTTTAATCAAACATGGATATATACAGAAATCAGTTTTCCCCATTGGGTTGAAAACTTACAGAAGGCAGAAGTTATGTCATCATCTTGTTTTCAACTTCTAGGAATCAATATTAGTTTATTTGCAAGTAAATAAAAACTTGATTTCTAAATCACTGAATTGCAATGAACAACATCAGGTACATTGCAAGACATATTACAAACAAATCAATGGACACATTATAACTCTCAGAATAAAATTCTGCTTTTATCCCCACTTCATAGATAAAGGAGTGCACTGTGATGCTTAGTCCCTTTCCCAGAATCTTAGGTGACAGGATGTGTTTGCTTTCAAACAATTTGAATAACATATTATAACATGATCTCCTTAGAAGGCTGTGTGCTGCACAAGGCTCTCACCAGCAGAGGTTAGCTGAGTTCATTGTGGAACTCCACGAAAGAGCATGCTATATATTATTTAATTATTTAGTATGTGGATTCTTTCCCACAAAGATGATACTTAAACATGGCTTCCAAAATTGTTTACTAATAAAGGGTTTGCAGTGCATTTTACTATATAGAGGCTCCTTTGAAACTCCCTTAATTTCAGTATTTTACTCTTCCTTTGCTTTGCAGAGTTTAAACCCTCCAGGGAATTCCCTCAACACACACAGCTGAGACCCTTCCTATACCTCTGGTGAACTGACATTCCCCAAATGGAGAGAGACAGCAACTCCACTGACAGAAGCAAAGCTGTACCACCCTTGCCTGTCAGCATGGCTGCAAAAGAAAATCTGTGCTTGGCCAGGATGATAATATTCTTATTTCATGTGGTATTTTTCTCTGAATTGGTTGAAATGCTCCAACCATGGAAACAGTCTCCCCGTTCCTTGCCCAGAGTGAGGAAGCATTCAAGAATGTAGAGTTGATGTGTTTCCTTGCCAGTTTAATAACCTCAGAGGTGAGAGTAGACAGATTAAATTTGGATTGGGAAGAGTGAGTCTGGGTGCTTGGGGTTGTACCCACACAATGTGACAGGAACCATGATGCAAAGCAGCAGCAAGAGATGGGACTGATGCGTGGTAGCAAGAAAAGAAGCACAGTTGAGAGTAAGGTTCCTGGACTGGGCATACTTGAGGGGAGACTGGGAGCATCCTTGTTTCCTAAGCAACTGAGGTCCTTTAATAACAGTCCTTTACTACATTTCTCCTGGTTTCATGAATTCCTTGTGCTTTCCTTTCCTTTGCAAAGAAGATGGTTTTATGTGACTGCAGTCTTCTCTAAGAACCTGACAAAGAGCAACTTAAAGGAGGAAGAGTCCATCTCTCAGTTCAGGGGAGTGTAGTCCATCATGTCAGGGAAGGCCTGGGCATGGGACCAAAACTGTTGATGGTGCATACATTGCCAAAGCTCAGGAAGCAGAGAAAGGGGAATGCTGACTATTAGCTGGCTCTTTCCTTTTCCTCTCTCTATTCAGTCCCAGCCTCTATCCCGTGGGATGGTGACATTTATATTCGGGGAGTGTCTTTCCCTCAGTCCTTTCCTCAGTTAAATTTCTATGAAAATCCTCATGTATCTATGCAAAGCTGTGCCTCATTAATGCCCCCAAGTGTTTCTTAAACCAACCAAGCAGACCATAGAAGTCAACCATTACAACAGTCATCTCCTGGGTTTCTGTACCTGTACCTTTCCATAAGATGATACTGTTCAGGCCCCAACTTCAGACTGCTTCCAAAGCATTCAACAGGTTCCCCATGACCCAGTAGTGTGGGGTGCTTCAATCTGAAGACAGCATTTACACGTGGATTCATAGTTAATGGCCTGAGTCTTCAGAGTCATGGTATGGCACTTCTGTGCCATGGGACCCTTCTAGCCAGTTTGTTACACTCCAAAGACACCATGATTATATCAGAAAATAAGAATGCCTTAGATTAGTCCTACTTCTGTGAGACTTGGCTTTTTTCTAAATCTTGTCTGAGGGGACTGAAGCTTAAATTATTCCACACACTCTATTCAGTTACTATTGTGGACAAAATTGTGGCTTCTTCTCAATCTCTCCAGTTTGTGGTAAAACTTTCTTTTTTAAAACAAAAAGCCAAGAGCTTTTATTAAATAACAAATTCATGTTGAGATAATTCAATGCTTTATTTTTTAAAAAATAAGCTTTTTTAAAATTTTACTTTTAGACATGCTGTAATAAAATAATACAAGTTAAAGATAAAAGCAACTGAAAGAAAAAGACAATGCATGATGCAAGGAATAGAAAGGAGGGCATATCAAAGATGAGGCTCTGTCTTTAATGTACCGAGAGACTTGCAAGACAGCCCTTCGCGAAAGGGTCTGTGAAGTATTGCACAATAAGCCTAAGAAAAAAACTTTAATTCTTAGTGTTATTTCAATTTGGATGGAGGGCATTAAAGGGATAATCAAATCATAAGATAACACCATCATGATGGGACTAGTGCCCTTAGAGGAAGAGACACAAAAGCTTGTGTGCCTTGTCTACACTCTTCCCTATGAGGACACAGCAGAAAGGAGAGCATTTGCATACAGGGAAACATGTCTTCAGAGAAGACATCTACCAATGCTGTCATCAAGAACTGTGAGGCTTGAATGCCGGCTGTTCAAGCTACTCAGTCTACAGTACTGTCACTGCCACTTCTGAGACCAAGACACATCTGTGGCACTTGTGATGGCTGCCTCTGTGTGTCTCCTTATTTGGGGATGTCAGACTCTCACCGTTACAGGACTATTCCTGAAAAGGGGGGGGGGTTACTCCTAATGGCCCACTTCCTTCAGATAATATGTATAAACCAGGAGCTAAGAAACTCTTTGCAGTCATGGAATGAATGGATTTGCATTTCAAGAAATGATGGCAGTAGGCATTAAACCAAACCATACAGACAGGTCCTTCCCAAGACAGGGTACCAGACTTCCTGGAAAGCACATTCTGCTACCTTTTTCATAAAACATTCTACTGAAATCTATCCACTCTCTGTACTTTCTTCATCCCAGTGGGATAATGGAAGTTAAAGGTGTTGCCTTTTATAGAAAACTAATACTAGTGGCCAAGTAAGTGACTTTCCCAATGCCATATAGTAAGAAAGTCACCAGCTAAAGCCAGAGTAGATTCTGAAGTTTTCACAATATAATACAACACTCCAACCATTAGACAAATGGGTTTCAGATGAAATTTGTAGAGTAACTTACCACGATCAACTAAGAGTTCTCTGAAAACCTAGATTGTCTGGTCTACTGAACCAAACACCCTGGAACTGGCCTAAGACAGTATCTTCCTTCTCTCCTTACTCTCCCTCTTTGCTTCCATTCCAATATTTGTTTCAGTGCTTTGGATCAAACCAAAGCAATGTTCTATTATTGTTCAGCAATTGTTCTATTATTGAACTAGATCTCCAATCCTCAACTCTATATTTTAATAGTCTACCAATATTTTTTATATGCAATGAGGTTGACAAACGCCTACAATTTCTTCTCCATTCCATGTTAGTAGAAGTACACCATAAATACAGGGAAAAGAGGGTAAGATCATCCACCTAAGAAGCCTGTAGCACTCCCATCTGGACTTGACTGAGCACTCAGCTCTTTGGCCAGAGTTGTTAGCTGAATGATCTTGC